GCCAGCCAATTGGAACCAGCAGAGTACTTGCCATTCCTGGGAAATGGGAATTGCACTTTAGGCTCCAAGAACATAACACACACAGCCTCTGCTCTCAGCCAGTACTGTCCTGGGACCCCAGCTAGATGGGGTCCTTATCCTGGACCCCATGATTCTGAGGGTCCCATTCTGGTCCTTTGCCAGCCATGTTCTCCCTCCAGGGCCAAACGGGTATCTACCACATCTCACAGCCTCCTCCTCAACGATGCTGTGTGTGCTGGGGCCCTGGCAGCCCTCTGGCTCCATCTTTATCACTCTATCACTGCCTGCAAAACTTTAAGTATAATATTAAGAGTCATACTGAGGACTGTTGCTCTAGGCTGTCTTCCACTGCAGAGGCCCTCTGAGCTGCAGCAACTTCTTGGGAGACTTTCATGTTTAAAGGACCATGTTGACTCACCTCCTCAGGCTAATGAAATAGGAAAATCCACAGTTACATGTAGGAAACCATGGTGATTCATATCTAAGACACAGGGCAGAAGTGCTGAACAGTAGACAAGCTGCCTGAGAAATGCACATTACTGGCAGAACAAGAATCATCCACATGCACAACAAGCCTCTCGGAGAACTGCTCTGCTTTTCTTTAATGTGCTGTCAAACCATCTGGCTCTTCCATGTGTAGCCCCTCCATTTAGTGTCCCACCACAACTGGTAGCTACAATTGCATGAGACGGCTGACAGTGACAGTGAACCTCCAAGTGAAGTGACTACGAAGGCTTGATCAAGAATCCATGTTAGATTTATATGATTATTCTCGAGGAAGAATGTCTTGACTGTGGTAGAATTCTTTCCAAAGTGGCTTCAAATGTTTTTGGTTTCATCTCTAACTACTGCTACTGTATGCTAGTTATTTACAGCAAACAGATACCCAGCTGTTGTTGTGGATAACAGGCGGCCTGCACCTGAGCTTGAAGACGTTGCCAACAGGCACGGTTCCTAGGCTGCCAGCCCTATGGCTTGATAAAGAATGCTGGCTGAATGGATGGTATTGGCAGTTGAGAATGGTCTGAAGTGGACTGAAGGAGAAGACTGACCATTGCTTAGGAAGCTGTTTTTTGCACCCTGAACTGGAGTCAGCTGTGACTACTCAGTATTAATTGGGGCAGTATCTTGAGATAAATCTGTCTCTACTTAAACATATGGTTTATAAGATCATATAAAATACAAGTGTTTCTTGCATCTAGAAATACTTGTCATTGGTTGAGTGCCTACCATGTACCAGGCTCTGTTCTAAGACCTTTGTATGTATTATTACACTTAAAATCTCATAAAAACCACATTTAAAAAATAATACTGTTATTTTTTTTATAATACTAACCATAGTAACCACTAACACTTATTAAACTGTCACTACATGTCAGACTGTATTGACAGCTTTACATACAAGTCTCAGTTAACCCTCATTATCCCGTATAATATGGCTGTAAATATTACTCTTCCCTAACTAAAGAGGATACATGCAGCTGTCACATAGTTAGTAACTGAGATTGCCCTCCAGGGCCTGTGTTTCCAACCACTTCACAGAAATGCCTTATTGCAAGATATTTGGACTGATCACCATCATTTTACCATTGAGGGAAATGCAAGTAAGGCCATATCACTAGGAAATGGTAAAGAGCATGATGGCTCTATCTTTCCCCAAACCCTGGGCCTGCTTTGCCAGTTTGTCAGTTGCCTTCCTGTTCTAGACAGCTCTGTTTATATATGTTCTTCAATAATTTGCACCTAAGGTTTAAACTTCCTAAGAAAGTAGAGTGCAGGGAAAGATGGGGATTTCTGCTATCATCAATGAAGTAACAGAACCTGAGTCATACAAGGCTGAGCCCTCAGACAGGCCAGCGGGTCATTCCCACTCGATCAGCTGAGAAGGTTCTCCCCAAAGGTGGGCTAGAGCTGGTAGAGCCATGACAACATTTATTTGGATTACATACTTTTCTTTGTACTGTTCTGTATTTTCTAAATTTTCTACAATGAGCGGTGTTACTTTTTAAAGTACATAGTCACAGACAATACTGAAAACATTCTCATGTCAAACACTCAACTACACAAAGCCTTTCCCTCAAACACTTCCCTTCCAATCCTCTCTCCAGAGGTGACCACAGTTAGAAAGTTTGTATGAATCGCTCTAGACCTGCACTGTCATATAAGGAAGTCACTACCCGCGTGTGGCTATTGAATACTTGAAATGTCCTAGTTCAAACTGAAATGTGCTTGTAAGCCTAAGATGCACATGAGACTTAAAGATCTGGTATGAAAAAAGAGTATAAAGAATCTTATAATTTTGATCTTGATTACATGTTGAGATGATAATATTTTGGTTATATTGGGTTAAATAAAATGTAATATTACATTAATTTCACAAATCTTTTTACCTTTTAAAATAGCACTAAAAATGTGGCTCACATTCAGTTTTTATTGGCCAGCACTGCTCTAGAGTCTAGACCACTTTCAGTACACTTATATGTATATATGCTTATGTGTATGTACACAAATACAGTTTTTGTTGTTTACCAACACAATATGAATTATGTTTATACTTGGATTAAAATTTTCTTTTTTCTTAAAAAATGTAATATTTAAATGCATGGGGCATTAATTCCTTTCTTTTTCTCTTTTTCTCTTCCTTTTCCTCTCTCCCATCCCCCCTTACTTCTTGACAGCCTACAAAGGCTCAGAGTGAGAAAGCAGTACTTATTCTTGGCCATACAAATGCTGAAGTGGGCACAACTACGATTGGATTAATTCAGCACAGATGCAGTTTAACTAAAGGGTATCCCCTTGTTGGATAAAAGAAAGTTCTAGTCAATGGAGGAAGACTTCAGAGTTAATGGGTCCTAGACAAAAGGCATAGGAAATAGCTATATCTGCCCAAAATGACCGTTAGTTACTTTGAAATAACTAGATCCAAACTTGTTGTTCTTGTCATGTCATCTCATCCTCTCAGTTGTTTTTTGCAACAGGCACAGTCCTGTTACTTTATGCTGGGTGATCATGTACTAATCACTTCTTTTCTCTTTGATCAGTGTTGCCCATAAGGTGCTACCTCAGTTCAGCCACTGAAACCTGACAGTTGCTGGAAATAAATGTTAACACGGTGACTGGTGTGGGATCCCTGCTTTGCTAAGTTCTGAGTGGTTGAAGTAATAGTGCAAATATTTTATCATGTACCAAAAAGATTTTATTTTGTCTAAGTAAATGTCTAACAGTGAATCTAGTTCAGTGGATTCTACAAAAGGAATGACCCAAACAAGACTCCCTTTTTCCCCAACTTAAAAAAAATACCTGCATATACCTAAATAATGTGCTCAGACTGCACTCATGTAAAGGAACTGGGAACGCACACATGCGGCATCCGGTGTGGGGATACCACCTCATGAGGGGCGTTTACCATGTTCTAGCAAGCCTTAGCACATGCAAAATATTAGTAGCTCTTACTTGGCCTCAGTGTAGAGTCTCCTTGAGGAAAGGGGAGAGAAAAAGAACATTAGGAATGAACAGGGGTGCATGATAGCTCATTATTTTCACTCCTGTGAGTGTTCCTTGGTGCTCTGTCCCCTTTGCGTCCCGCTGGTTAGACGCTGCCTTTATCATGGACTGTGGCTGAAGGCCTGTGTATTCCTTTGCCCGCTCCTTGCTGGCCCAAGACAAGCTTGCCAATGGGTAAAATGAAGCATGGGATGAGGAACTCCCAACTTGTCTTTTAGCTGGTCATTTTCCCAGCCTAACAAATCAAATTTTCCATCAGCAGATTCCAGGGGAGCTGTTTTAAATGCACCATGTTGACAGGGCATTTGTGAAGTGTTTCTTTTCTTTTCCTCCTAATCCTCCCACCTTTTTCCTTCATCCAAGGAAGAACAGAGAGAAACCAATAGAGAACCAAAGACAAGGGTGATACAGGGATTTCAACCTTTTCTGAAGTGCTCTATTAATTAAGACATTTTGAGGCTAAAAAAAAAAACTTCTCCCTTAATTAGGATTGACTTCATCTGAGTAGAGAACATCTGCTGTAGCAGCCCAGCCCTGTCCTCCTCAGGCCTTGCAGCCACGGGTGACTGGAGCCCCTTTCTCTTTCCCGGCAAGCCTGGTCAAGAAGCCTCTGGGTGCTCTCAGGCAGAACCCGCAGGCAGGAAGTGGGTGGGAGCGACGGGGGTCTCCACCCATTAGCAGCTGCTTAATCAGTAGGCAAGGGAACTATCCTACAGAGAGATTCAGGGCAGCAGATACACCAAACCAATTTACACTGTTGTGGAATCATAGTAAAATGCTAACAAAGGACCTGGAATGCCAGTGCCGTTATTTTTTTCCCTGCCTTGTGCTGGGTACCCAAAAGATAAAACAAGAACAGTTGGATTTGGTGGTTTAAAGAGAACTATTAGGCAAGTAGAAGGAAGTGAAGGCAGCACACACCGAGGGAAGCTGTCTTCATGGAACATCATGCACCAGTTACTAAATGTCAGAACCCATCATCATCCAAGTGTTGACGTCCACACAGGTTTAGTGACTTGCTCATTTAGACTTAACCAAAAGACAAGCTTGACAGACTATCTGAATCTTTGGGGGAGGGTAACGGGTGGAGAGGAGAAAAGAGTGAGGTAATTTTAAAAAATAACTTCACAGTATTTTTTAAAGCACAGTATTATTACCTCAGTAGTTTTTACTAGTCTATTGTAGTATGTGAAACAGAAGTTTTGCCAAGAGTAGGTAAAACATTTCCAAATAAGTCATTATAGATTACCTTATAACTCGAAAATAAAAATGTGTAAACGTGTTTGTCCATCAGACTTCAGTGCATTTATGTTAACAGTTTCCTTGTGGAAGACATTTGACCTTTTCTTATGCTACTTCCTTAATAATTTATTATGGCTTTAACAAGTGCATAAGAGCTGGTTTTATAATTTTATATATACATACTTAAAAATAATTGTTCACATTGCCTCACCAATAGGAAAACGAATGATTACCTCTGTAAATTTGTTCCGATTGGCTTGCAAGCCAACTTTTACTACTTCAAAAGGGTTAACCACGATGGCTTCCGTTAGTCCAGATCCCAATCCAGCAATGGCGAATGTCTAGAAAAATTTAATCAATCAATACTTGAAAACAAGTTATCATGTGTCCTGGGTTAAGCATCCTTCTCATTCCACGATGCAGCTCAATGTTATGTTGAGAATGGAGTAATACACATAAACGCACATATACCATTACTAAACAGCTTCAGTTCTTGATTAGATGCTGACAATTCATGAAGAAGAAATTACAGAAGCCACAAACTACATCCTAACAATTCAAAATAAAATGTCATAGCCCCATCAACGACTTTTCCTTTAATGAAAAGAAAAGTTGTTTTACTGATTTAAGGTGGGTACTGAAACATCTGTACATGTAACAAATAGAAGACAGTTGGACCTTTAACAGGAGAGCTTCATTTTTAAAACATCTACTTAAATACATTTATTGAGCATATAAAAAAACCTAAGGAGCAGAACCACAAATAAAATCTTTATAAAAGTTAGATTTCAGGTAACCAAATACAGTAGCTGAAAACTTTCAAATATAAAGCTGTATTCTTAGAGTCACAATTCTAGACAATAACAAAAAAAATTTATTTTTTATGCATTCTTTGCCTGTTTTTAAAAAAACTGATAATTACCCTATTCTTTTAGACTTAGAAGCTGAGGAATAAAAGCTGAGCGCAGAAATGGCTAGGTTGTTCTAAAGGGCTCAACTAAAATCTGGCATATTTATCAAAGGATAACTATATGTCGGGTTCTTATTTGCTATCTATTAAGACTTTCTGCAACTGGAAAGAACTTTCTAGAATTTTCCTCTCAGTAGACCGCGTAAGGGTTTTTCAGAAAATCTGTATAAAAATTAACCACAACAATTTAAACACACACACACACATACACACACACACACACACACACACACACAAAATAAATAAATAAATAAAATGAAACAGAGCCTTGATTCTCCTAAACATGCTGAAAAAAAAATTAATTCTTTGGTATTGAAGCTGTAATACCAGAAGACGTAGCATTATTTTGACTAAGAGAAAAAAAAGCCAGTGAAGAGTAAAGAACAGATAACATAGTAGAAGTCTCTAATTTCTTCAAAGTAGGAGACTGAAAGAGAAAAGAGAAAGGAATGTTCTGTAACGTTAGAAGGGGAGGCAAGATGGAACAAGGGAAGATCCAGAGCCAGGAGGTCTGGTTTGAGGTCCCGGTTCTGCCACTTACAGGCTGCGTGACCAGAGCTGCTGTGTGTGGTAGTTTGTGCCCAGATAAAGGTGTGTACGTAGGCTGAAATCCAGCCTGCGCCTCCCTTGCCAAGCCACTGCCCTGGGGAGGCATCAGCCAGGAGAAAGGGGCACCTTTTCATAATTCACACAAAGGCACAGTATGTGCTAGCTGCAGCCCTATGTCTAAACCACTGAGCCTCTTATAAGCCACGGTTTTCTCATCTGTAAAATGGAGTCATTAATATCTAATTTCCCTACCTCATAAGGCTATTATGAGAATCAGAGTAATGTGTGGAAGCCCTTTGTAAGGTGCTATACAAGAACCACTGTTCTCGTAGCACATAAAACTGTATAGAATGGTATTGTATACAGTTCTAGGAGAGAGAGAATAACTAATGATTTTTTCCTTTCATGGCCCTTCATTACAACTTTAAACATATTTCTTTAGGGTAACAGACCAAATATTTTATTCATTTATCTCAGGCTTCCATCATGGAAGCCAAATGAGGGGAAAAAATATACTAGTCCCAAACTCTTCCGACTGAGAAAGCTAAAATCCAGATGTTCAGGTTTTTATTACTTACTATATGTGATATTCCAAGTAATTCACTTTTTTGTTCTTTTATAAACTCAGCTACATTTGTTGTCAGAACTAGTGTTCAGCAGTCCCTTGTCAAAAGAATTGATCAGCTATCAGCAGATCATGTTACTTAAATTGTTCCAGAGATCAGCAGTAACTCTTGGCTTCCCAGCCTCCTAGGCTTTTCTTGTGAGGGCACCAGGGAACATTTAACAGCTGCTTAAGTGTCTAGCTATATCAAAAAGAAACTGAAATGAATGAGTTTAAGGAAAGAGAGAAACTGTTCACAGTTTGCACGCCCTTGGTTATAGTAGCTGGAATGGCCAAATGCTTTTGTGATTCAATTCTCAGGAGAATCTGAAAAACTGCAGTGTCTCATGTGGCTGCAATGCTTGACACAAGAACAACCAGTGGGCCCTCTGGAGTCCAAATTTTATTGTCTCTTGCTAGACAGTTTTTAATCCTCTCATGGCCAAGATGTTTTCAAAGTTAAGAGTGACATTAAGGGAAGACACTGAGGAATTAAAAAACATAGCTAATTTTAGGATTCATGCTACCACGTCTTCCCTACAAGGCCACCTCACAGCCACCTTGTTTAGGCAGGAGGCTGGACAAGATGTTTCTCAATAGGATCCTTGCTAGAAAAGGGACATGTATGGTTTAAAAATAACAGGTACTTCTTCTTGGACAGACTATTTGGCAGAGTAAATATTCTGAAGTGAACCTTTACAAGTAAAGTAAATAAAGAGCTGGAGCTCAGAACACTGCTTCTCTGCTTGAGTTTTGAGGTACATTTCGGCAGGTAAATGGGGCTTTTCCCAGAGGCTAGAAGGTACATTGCAGATTTTGTTTTGTTTCATTTTGTTGTGCAGATTTGGAGGGAGAAATTAGTGCACTTACTTTTTCTGGAGCTCTTTCTGTACAATATTTATGCAACGTATTTGGTCAATATAATTTCATTTGTTTTGTGACAAGCAGCTAAGTCACTAAGAAGGAGAGGAGTGGCACTGGGAAATGTTCAAATTACTAAGTGATTTTTATGTAATAGCTGAGATGTGTCATTGTAAGATCACCATTCTCCCCAACTATAAAAGGCCCTTCAGTCTGCATCTGACCACCGAGTGACTTGGAGTCTTATTTTTACTACACCTTAAGCAAAGGCTGGAAGAGTGAATGTTGGGAAATAATGTTAGGTATATAGGCTTTTGCATAAATAGGTATGTGTAATATGTATGTAAACATATACATGTTTTGGCTTTACAAGAGTCTTTGACAAATGTACTCCTTATTTTATATTCTTGTCCATATCTCATATGGGCCTTTCTACACATATCATTATTATCATAAATTTATCAATGGGAGCTATAAAACAGCCAAATTGTGAGTTATTAGGAAGATGGCTTTCAACAAGTAGCTGAACATTGAATAACTCAAATGCATATTTTAGTAGCTGGGCTTGGGGAATCAAAAGGGTTTTTGTTTCCAGATTTTGCTTTATGAAATAACTCACACACTTAAGTATAATAAATACTCTTACTTACCAATGCTGGTGACAGTGACACATATCCTAGCAATTTCTTGTATTGCTCAAAGGTGAAAAACTGTGAAACAAAACCAAACCCAGAGATTTATAATAATTTCCTGCAACAAAACCTTTAATTGACTCAAATTTCTTTAGTAAATCATTATATTAACCAGCACTTAAAAAAATGGTAAGCCATCAAACAGAGATTTTAATCCAGTCTTGGACAGTTGCTATCGGATCTTACCTTAACATTCACATTTTCAAATGCAGCTATAATAACCTACAGAAGAGTTGATGGAATCCTTTGCAGCAGTAAGTGAACCATACAACTTCCATTTACCATGACCATTTCAGTTTCCCCAGACATCAATAGACTTCTTTTTTATGGCAGTGATTCAAAATCGTAGGCATGGAGACCTGAAATCTTTGGTCTCCTATGTTTTCTTAATGTACTGCTTTCCTAGGGAAGGCCCAGTTTTCTAACCCACTTGTACGAGACATCCACTTCTCAGCTTTAACTTGCATTTACATTTCTGTGTATCTCTACTGTTTCATGGGATTTTAAAACACTCAGTGATGATGATACTGTAATAAAATAGAGAGGGAACCAATGAGGTCATCTACTCCATCCACGACTTGGAGCAAAACTGTCCTCAACCTGAATGAAGAGAGATGCTTATTCCTTCCTTTAGAATCTGATGATGGTGCAGATTTTCTTGGTTCCTTCAGTAGATGATGTTTAATATAATATTCTCTGCAAATGACTTTCTAGGAAGGCAAATCTAATCAATCACTTCATATAATATGCCTCCAATATATTTTTTTCTTCTCTTTTCCTATATCCTAGATTTTGGGCAACTCTGCTTGATCATGATGTTTTGCTGCTGTGTGTCTCGCTGGCAGCTGCCATCACTGCTGATAAGGCCCTTAGGTCCTCCTGGGGGCCCAGAATTGGCATGAGTGTTTAATGGTTTTGGAGGTCTTCTACCCTATTACTTTTTTGCCCAGTAAAATGGGGCAAGAAAAAAAAAAGGTACATTTGGGAGCCACATAATACTCTGTTGTTAGAAAGAGGTAGTCCCATGTAGACATGGCTCTAATGAATCTTTGGACAGCCCCAAAATCATTACATCACCAGATAGATTTTGATTCTTTTAAAGACCTAGGAATGACTTTTGGGCCATGCTTCTTTAGATCAACTATGTATGTGGACTTTTCTAGAACAGAGATTCATTCATTCACTTACTTAACAAATATTTATTGGAAGCCTCCTATGTTCTAGGGGCATGGGGCATGGGGAACGCAGCAGGAAACAAGCAAGGAGAAACCCTGTTTTTTTGGTCTAATACTCTGGTGGATGGTAAAACCCAGAAACTAGCCTGGTGTTAAAATAATACCAACTAGGAACACTGCTGTTTTGATGATATATGCACTAAAAACCATTAACCCTGGAAGGAACGTGGTCTTTAATGGTAAGTCATTTTTTCTTCCTTTTTTATGACCATCATTATCACTATGCTCTGATGGTCACCTGCTGGGATTTTGACAGGAGCAGTCCTGCAGCTGAATCCTGACTATACGGCTTAGCTGTGAAAGTGTGGGCAAGTCGCTGACCTTTCTAGCCCTCAAGAACACAAAACCTACCTCTAGAAAAATCCTCAAATAAGCAAACTCAAGTAAGAGTTCCTGACATGTCTGGAACATAGGAAGTTTTCTGAAAATCTTAGTTTCCATTCTTTGGTTACTAAGGAAACCACAGACACCATGGTTATTTGTATCATGCATGACAGCCTGCTGTGGTACTGGAAATATGGTGAGGCCTTTGTGCATGCTACTGCATTTAGTCCACACATCATCAGGTAACAGGTGGTAGAAAACCATGATTCTCATTTTATATATATGTCCTTGTAGCTAGTGAGCAGAAGCACTGAGATTTCCCCCTAAGTCTAACTCTAAGGCCTGTGTGCACCCTCAACAGTGATTCTCTGCTTACTTAGTTCTGAGCCATAACTGAACGGTTTGGGGAGAGATTCTTTGCCCTAAAGTTTTCTTGCTGCTGAGGTCTTCTTGCATTCCCTAGCCCTGGAAGCCCAGAGTCCCTCAAGGAAAAGGATTTCAAATGCTTTTGACCACAAACTACATAAAAAACATTTACCCAGTGCATACACACATGCAAGAATGTAGTCTTTTCATATTTGTAACTGAAACAAAACATTGCCATAAAGCAATATTTACCCTTACTATGTGTAATGCACTCTGTTTCTACTCTATTTCATTAAAAAAATTGCTGGTCATGACCTCTTCCACCTAGTGACCCACTGAATTGATTTCATGACTCACAGCTCATAAGCCTCATTTGGAACCACTGAACACTGGGTTTGGGGATGTTCTGGGAGATGTTGGGCGCTGCCCTGTTCCCTTCCGGTGTGAAGATGTGTTTTTGTGTTTTGTTTTCTTTTCTTTCTGACTTTCTGTCTTTACCAGGGATTAAGGATCAAACTGGGATCTCAAAGGAGAAGCCTGGGGACACAGACTCAGCCTGTCACTATGGCAATTCCAACAGGGAATTCCAAGTTAACACTGTGGGGCAATTCCAGGTTTCTCGTTTCCTTGTCTAATGTCCAGTGCCTTGAAAAATATAGTTCCATGTATTTGTTATTGCTGTTTCAGGCAGAAGAGTAAATCCAGTCCCTGTTACTCCATCTTGGCTAGAAAAGGAAGTCTTGGACCTCTAGAAACTTTGAATAGTAGATGTGGGCATTTTGGGGAACAGGACAAAATGCCTTGTTATGAATCAATAAATTTTGTTTCTCTTTCTGTATGTTTCATTTACTTACCTAATAATGGTTGGCCATCTACTATGGGTAGACACTATGGTGTGTAGACATAGTGGTGAACAAAATGCCTTTATAATCTCTTGTGAGTTGGGTTGGCAGTAGACAGTCCTTGAGAATGTGACCATGAGAAAACAGTGTTTCTGGGCCTGTGAAGCTCAAGACTAGGCCCTGGAACCTGGGAGGTGATGCCTCCACCTCTAAGGGACCAGAAGGTCTCCTTCTGAGGTCTTCATTTCCTCTTGATAACTGTAGTAATAATTCCTTCTTAATTTGGGAAAGGGGGAGTTTCATTCACTCAGCATCAATGAGTCTTATTATTTTAATGATGAATCTTATTTTAAAGAATAAAGTACAGAAAGAACATTGTCTGTTTTTGATTATAGTAGTGATTGTAACTGAAGTGTCAGTACCGAGCAATATATATGTAAAATATTCACAGACCACACATATATATATGTATGTATGCATGTATATATATTATACACATATATATGCCCATACATATATATATATATCTCTGAATATTTTTCTGAAGTAAACTTTGATGACATACAATGCAGCAGTTTATGATGTGTGAAATTGTTACAATCAGATGATCACTTTCTTCACAAATCTTAAGATGAATATCTATAAAATGAATGTTTTCATAAATTGTGTTGAAAAACTAGTGCTATCCATCTGGCAAAGATATAATTAACTCTCCAAGATATTCTTTAAAAGCCAACAACATACTTACCATATGTCTCAATAATTTTAAGGTAATATCTACTCAAAACAAGATGTCTGGGACACATACTCCATATCCAGTTGCCCACAAGTTCATCTGTTAACCATTGTTCGGGCAGGGGGCATTGCTTTTCTTAAGTAGAGACTAACTCAGTTCTCTAAAGCCCAACCTTTTTTTTTTCTTCAATGAAAGACTGTTCAACACTGATAAACCTTAATCCTCTTAAAGCTTAAATTAAATTGCCTCCAATGTACAGAATTAAGGAAAAATATTCCAGGCAAAAGTGTAATTATAATTTACTTTACTTATGCATGTACAGCACCGAACAAATGAATATATTATTCTATGGAGACAAAGTGACTTTCCTTTTGAAAAGGAACTCTGCTCTGTTTGTTTACTTGGGCAATCTTTTATCAAGTGAAGCCATTTCATAATTCAATTCAGCCCTCTTGTGTACTTTGGTGAACTTTTTCCAGATTCTCTACTGTGATTCAGATCCTTATAATGAAGTCTGTATTGAAGTAATAATATAAAATCACAAAAAATGATGGCAACAAAGAAGATGAGTTTATAGAGAAAGTATGTTTTAAAGCTTTGTTTTCTGAATTCAAGACCTGAGCTAAATCCTACTGCAGTCTTATTTTAACATAATATAAAAGTTTGGTGTCTGTGTATATATGCTGGTCATTTTATTATGAATGTTAACTTCACCCTCTTAGACTTAGTGAGTGAAAGTATATAAGCTGCCTGTTTCAATCTTTCAGGAATATTGGGAGTACAAATTGAGTAATGAATATGAAAAAAGCTTTATGCCATTAATTGGAAAGGAAGTCTTTCAGTCCAAGTTTATGCCATCCTTATTATGGGAAGACAAAGTCATTTTGGGGGACGGTGGTGGTGTGGGGGCAGGAGCAATGCCAGTCAGTCACTGTGATCTGGGTTTTTGTCTGACAGGACATATAAAGGAGTGATCAAATTTAGTTCTTTCTCCCTGGGAGGTCCTGCCAGATCTCTGTATCCTATGCAGAAATGGAACCAGCAAGTAGTATATAAACCTCCACAGTTAATGTGGTTAAAGAATGGAAATAAGCATAGTGGAAATAATAATTCTATAAAAACCAGAATACAGAATTTTAACAGAGGAGACCGAGGTGGGGGAAATAAAGTTAGCATGCTAAATAAATGTGCTACGTGAGAGTCATATACAAAGAAATAGAGTGTATTCATTTGCTCTGTTCATAAAATGGGAATGATTTGGGGAGAAAGGAACTTCTACCTCTCTATTCTCCTCTCCTTCTTTTCTTTAATAATTATTGTACCAAAGGAAAATTAATGCATTTCCTTGAAAAAAAAGTCCAAACTATTTTGTGACTGCTATGGTTTTGTTACATGAATTTAATTCACCACTCTACTTTTTGTATAATTTCCCCATTAGAGGGGAGTGACTTTATCTGAAAAAAGAAAAAAGACAAACCATTGTTTGAGAAACTGACAAAGTCTAATTACAATAAAAATTATGCTATACTTTCTGCATTAAACTGTTTAGTATCTTATGTGTAACTCACACTCGTGTTGCATGGGTGCTGTGGGATGGTTTTATGCTGCAGCTGTTACTGCAGTCTATCATCACTTGGTGGGAAGGCATACACTGCTTACCTTCACTGCCCTTTTTGGTGTTTCAGCCAAGATGGGTGGCAGAATTCCTTTGTAAAAACCAAACAACCTATTGGAGAAATAAAAGGTTTTATATAGGTAAGGGAATTCATAGGTAAGGAAATAACAGCTAATTTTGCCTTTGCTTATGGATAAGGCAATTAATCTTAAAATATTCCCAATTGTTCACTGTAGCACACCAATCATGGAGTCTTCCTTTGTTCTAATTTTAAAATGGAGAGATTGTGAACTCTACCTTTGTTAACAGTATGATATTCAGAAGAATACATGATGCTGAGACTGGAATCTCTTGGGTAAGTTGCTACATACAACCATGAGCTGTACCTTTAAGATGAAGCTGAGGTTCCTCACTGTAAGCGATCTTCTTTATTTTCTCAGTTGTGTGTTAGGTTAGCTTTAAGCTGTCTATACAGTCTTTCATTTCCTCCCTTATAACCAAATGAGATCAGGGTTCCAGTGGAGCCCGCTAGACTCAAGCTTTCTGAGGCCAACAAGGTGCTGAAATCCTCAATTTTAGCTTTACCAACACAACAGAAATAACAAGCTGTGTGGATACAGAACTTGGGCTCTGGTGCTGTTCTGAATTAGTCATCATTTTTTAACTTCTTTGATGGAGATGAAGGTCAGGGACATATTGCTGACAGAAGAAAAATTAAACTCCCTTGCTGATATGAAATCTCACAGGGCCTAGGACAGCTATTGTTGCCAGCTATTATTGAGGAACTTGTCATGTGTTCAGACATTTTTAGAAAAACAAACGACAATGGGTGCCATATACTTATGATAAGATTTATAAACTATCATCACTTATTAGGTTTTAAGATTCAAAATCTCAAATTTGTCTGCCCTGGAATCCTTATACACATATGCCATACTCTCACATTAAACCTGAAAGTTCAAAAATAGAAGAAAATATTCAGCATTATTTTCTGAGATAATCAGTTTTTCTGATGAATTAGTAAGTGACTACAGATTAAGGTAGGACTCACTGTGTCCCCATTTTAGGATGTCCATTTAATATGGAGCTGGAACCTCTCTGATTAGCCCCTTAAATGTCACTCTAACTCCTTTACATTGGGTTCTGCTTCTGACTGTGTTTCTGGAACAAGAAAGTTAAAAGAGTTTATTCAGACTAATCCCTGGGCCACCCAATCCAACGTGGTGACCTTTTTCTTTTCTTGGATTCACTGGCTTACACAGCATCCTTCAGTGATGGAAGCAAAGGTCTTACGGTTTCTAATTGCTAGCTCCTTGAGGGCTAGGTGTGCATTAGCATGCTTACCCCAGAGTCTTTTTTGTGTGTGTTGTTTGTGTATATGCAACCAGGACACAAATGTTTGTCAAGCCTATGGATTTCATGAAGAGGAAGAAAGGAAGCAAATGATCCCCTGATATGGGCTGACTCTGCCCACTATTTCTGACTTAGTGGAGAGCTCTAACATTATGAATAGGAAATAAGGAAGACATGTGATTTGAAGAACCATGGGACTGAATTCTCCCCACCTCCTTTCCATTCCAGTTTCAACTACTGATGACTGAAATTCACTTGTAAAATTCAAATACTAACATTCTTTGTCATTTAAATTTCATTATAAATTAATATTCTATAATTTTAGCCTGAGAGTAACTAAACCTAGGTCTGGTCTTCCCAAAAGATAAATGTGATTTTCCTGAAAAGAGATTTTATATTTGTAATGAAAGGTGTTTTTAGTCCTGATCTTTCTGTGCTGATTTTGCCACATATGGAAGAGCATGCCTGGTCATGTGGGTGGGGAGGTGAAGAAGAAGAACATTTAGGCAAGTAAACCTTCTAGACAAGAGTGTCCTAGTTAACAGAGGTACTTGAAATTCTTTACAACAGAGAACAGTTATAGGAAGAACAGGTGCTCAGCCTGGAGAAGAAAGATCATAGGGAGAAACGTGATGTAGGGCTTGTCATATAGAAGTGAGCATGTAGGAAAGAGATTAGATGTCTGTGTTTATTTTCAGGCTGTCAAACTAGGAACAATAGGCAGAAGTAACAAGCTCCATTTTTGCCCCAGTAGGAACTTAATACAAGATGACATACATAGTAGTCAGAACTATCTAGAGATAGAATGGGTTCTTCTGAAAAGTGGTGAATTCCCCTTTATGTTATGTGGTCAAGCAGTATGGATGGCCTCTTATCATGGATGCCAGAGATGGGATGTACACAGCAATGGATAAGACTTGATGGTCCTCAAGGTTGGTCTACTTCGACCCTTAGATTTGTTATTCTAAGAAGAACAAGAGGTCATTAGAAAGCACTTTTTTAAAGAGAAAAACTCTGTTTTACTTCAAACTTTTGCCTAAAGTTACAGCACTTCTTCTCTGGAAGAAGACAGAAGTTTTACAAGTAGCACAGAAGGATTTCATTTTAAAAAAGAAAATATTAAAAAGAGGTGTAAGTCAGGAGGGAAGAGAGACAGCTGGGAGAACCATAAGGATTTAATCTGAACGTAGCTGGGAGGTCCAGAGCCCTCTGCTTCATGTTGGTGATGCTTCCTGGTTGCGCCCTCCTTCCCTTCTCTCTGCTCGGTTTCTTTTACATGCAATCACAACCACCCCACCTTCCAACTTCAGCCATACCACCATCCCGAACTTCCTAAGAGTGAATAAATAGCTTTAAAGGGAAATTCTCAAGGATCATAGGCAGCCTGTGCTGGCAAATGGGAAGCAAGAACTATTTCCTTCCTGGCATTCTTTCACAGTATATCCATGTAATAGTGGACATCTACGGAATAGTCAGGCCAGCACCTCTTCTGCTGAGATGTGCTTCATCCAAATTTTTTAAACCACTGAAACCAGTACATTAGTATAATTTGACACTGTTTCTAGGGAGTGGTTGACTGGGTAGTTCATGGATCCAAATGGTATTCTGTCCTTTTACCCTGGGTAGTCTGATCCAAAGGAGATCTAGAAGAGTTTTTCCCTAGAATTTTGGAATTGGAACTGAAAAGGTGAGTCTCAGTCTATGTGGTTGAAACTCTAAAACATAAAGCTAGGAAATGAATTGCAGTCATGTTTTCTGACATATGGGAAGCATGAATATGCTGTGATAAAGAAGGAAGGTACCATTTGGGGAAACACAGAAGCAAGATGGAGAAGCTCTGGTCCTGTGAGCACGACCCTGCTGCTAGGAATTCTTTAAGCTTAGTTATGTCTCTACCCTTCTTGAATATTGGTGTTTATCTTTGCTTTTGATTCTTTGAGACCTACAGTAACATTTATAATACACTCCCCCTTTTTTTTTTTTGCTTGAATAAGTTTGAGTTGGGTTTATTGCTTATAACCTAGAGTTTTGGATTGGAAAGTAAGTTTCCTGGCTCCTACAGCCAAAGTGGCTGCTTCAGTACCTCCATGCCATGCCCTATCAGGTGAAGAGTCTCTTTGTCAGTTAAAATGGGCACTTGGGCCAGTCACAAGGATCACACTCAAAATCTGAGCAAGAGAATGTAGGCAAGGGCTCAAGCTCATGAGCTTGATTAGATAATTTGTGACTTGATAAGATAATTACTGAAAGTTTCCTTAATGTAAAGTATGATACACAGATTCTGAAAGACAAAAAGCGATTACAATGTTTTATGAAGGAGATGCTTCTGTTTTTCCTGATAAAGCACTAATGTTTATACCCACATGCATTGTTCATTCTGCCAGATTTTTCTGCCTTTATGTAGTTTTGGTCTGAAATACAGAGCATGTAGCTTATCAGGACAATAACAAGGGAGGCTAAGAGATTTGTGACACTAGTATCAACATGCTTTATCTTGCTTACTTCTCAAGAGCAAGTTGATACATTCATTCTACTCCGTGGGTGAATGGGAAGTGAGATTCAAATGGCAGTTCTTTTCCCTGAAAAGACAGGAAAGCTATGCACTTTGGTTTTAAGTTTTGACCCAATCAAGCCAGTTGGAGAACTCTGGAAGAGACACAAAAATCAATGCAAGATCTCCCATAAACCTGTAGTAGGTATGATTATTTTCTTCATTTTGCACATGAGGTCTATTCTCACATCATTGCCAAATAGGCTGCAGAGACTCAAATCAAGTTTCCTTGTCCTCACAGTCCATGTCCTTGACCACTGGGCTATCCTGTACTGCAATTTTTCTTGAAATGAAACTATTTTTATAAACACTTTTTTTGAAAAGTGAAGTTATTTCTGTTGTAAAAATGTCATTTTTTTCATTTTAGGAGGAAGCAGAAATGGCAATTCTAAATTAGGTTTCTATTTCCATTTCCATTCACTTCTGTTTTAAAGTAATGTGAAACCCTATATAACTGATAGATCTTGAATGATCATTTTTCGTGAAAGCTTTTGGTTGTTGATTTAATATTTTCTAGTTGGATCAGAATGACGGTAAAAAATGTAGGCCCTAGGGCAAGCTTTTTTTCCCCTAGGATAACTTTTATCCTCAAGAGGCACACCAGGATAATTCTGTCAGTGTGGGAGAAAGACTCTGCTCATTTCAGTAATATAATAAAACACTGAAATATTAATACTAAATATTAAAATAAAAACTGTTATTATCTAAAAAAAATCAGTGGGGAGCCCCGTTTGTTGCTGACCAAGCATATCCCCCCTCTTCCCCACCTCTCCTTGTTCCTTGGCATGCAGGCATTCACCATCCCTTGTGCTCAGGGAACGAAGCCCTTCTCCAGTCCAAGGGATAAAGCAAGCCAATTCTTCAAGCCAATCATGGTGGTTCCCTGCCCTTGCCCATGAATCTTGTCACATGCTTGGACATGTGACTCAAACCTAGCCTATGAGACCAGCTAGAAGGAGGGATGTATACTGTAAGCCTGAGATCTCCAGCCTAAGGAAAAGAGGCACATGGGAAGAAAAGACCCTCTTCTTTGCTAGATGTTGTCCTAGTTGCCTGATACGTCTGGGTCTGCAGCCAGGTGAGATATTGCCCACAAGCTGAGGGAGGTAAACTCAAAGATGGAAAGGATCTGGATCTCAGTGACACTGCTGGGCTGCTGAACTGACCAATCTGGCACCCTCCCTCCACATTTCTGGTTATGTGAAGT